CTTTTATTGCCAAGTGTGATTGGACACACAAGGAATTTGTCTCTGATGCATAAGCTCTTAGTATACATACAAGCAACAAGTGATAAATCATGATCATAATCTTAAAAAACAATCATAATAAACCATAAGATACAAACTCAGTGATAGTCATAGGATACTAAATAAGCAAATAACATAAATCATAATAGGATACTAAATAAAGGCAACATAAATCATGAGCTACAAACAAATTATAAGAAGCTAAGGAAATAGATAATAGGAAAGATGAAAAGATGAGAAGGATAATAGGTAATACAGCTCTACTAGATGGTTTGACATCCTAGAACATAGACAGTGTTGTAGGAATTAGTTGTTTAGTATAGTGATGGCATGGGGGAAAAACTGTCCTTGTGTCTAGTTGTTTAGGCATGCAATGCCCTATAGCGTCGCCTTGAGGGAAAGAGTTTAAACAGTTTATGTCCAGGATGTGAGGTGTCCAGAATGTGTCTATAAATATTTTCACAGCCCTCTTTCTGGCTCGTGCAGGTCCTCAGTGGAAGGCAGGCTGGTTGCAAATGTTTTTTCTGCAGTCCTAACTATTGGCTAAAGTCAGTGTCTGATTTGTTTGGTTGCTGTGTCAAACCAGACAGTTATAGAGGTACCAATGACAGACTCAATAATTCATTTGTAGAACTGTATCAGCAGGGGAGTTTGACTGAACCACCAAGTTGAACTAAAATTCCTATTTCAGACCAATTCCAAGAAGGTCTTATGGGGCATGGCCCGTGCAACCACTGATCTTCTCAGTGCCTTACTTACCATTAGCTGCTGCACTTGCATTCAAATGCACCATACCCAACAGGCCTGCCCACCGGTCCTTCCCCTCTGCCTTCCCAGGCCCTCCTTTTCTTGCCATGCTTGTATTAAAGGTAATGAAGGAAAGCATCAGTCTTGCATCAAGAAAAAATAAATGCAAGTAGTCCTCAGCTTATAGCCATTCAGTTAGTGACCATTTGAAGGTTCAATGGCACTGAAAAAGCGACTTATGACTGTTTTTCTCACTCTTCTAGTAAAGTTATCCCCTTGCATCACGTGGCCTTTGAAGGTTAATTAAAAAAAAACAAACACCAATGCAGTCCATTTCCAAAGATTGCTTGTTCCTGCTTTAATGGGATAAGAAAAGCAGAGAATTCTGGAGGGTCTACCTTACAAAACAAGAACAAACTTTTTATTGATGGCTGGTATTGATGAATCTAAGCCGTCCTAGTTTTTACAAGTGTTACTTTCTGATATTACTAAACTGTGATTTGTAGGTTGGACCAGTGATTATAGTAGATAGTGATCGCATAAATTATAGGGGGGGAAAGGAATGTTTTATCCCCCTCCCCTCCTTCCAGTATATTCAGAATAATTATAGTAACGTGTCATTGTTTAAACTGATCAGCACTTTCTGTTAGGAAAATGCATTTAGGTTGTTGTTCTGGCAGATGTTATCATTTTCTGGAAAGATCTTCCAGATTGTTAATGAATGGCCAAGCAAGTACATAGATAGTTAGTTAATCCCACTTAATTGTCACAGTGAAATAGAGCAAGCACATAATTTTCTGCTATTTTAATTCTGTGAACACTATAAGAATGATAAATTGTGACACAGCCTTATAGAGAATGCTAATTTGAGAAAGTGATTGACTACAATAAACTTTCTTCCCTTCACTTTTCCTTCTCAAACAAGTGGTTCACTAACATCTTTTCCTCTTTTAACAAGAAATGGATGGATGGACTTAGCTAGCTAAAGATACATTTTACCTGGCAGTGATTACCAATTAATATGCATTTTCAATTCATTATGCAGTCTAATGTTTTTTTCTATGTGCAATCATATTCACTGTGGATTAGGAAAGGGCATGTTTTCCTGAATGTGACTAGCTGATTCCACAGCTGTAAAACATCTGGCTGAGAAATGCTTTTCTGTGACATATGTGATATGCTATAAAAAAGAATATGGATGGACACATTGGGCAGTTAATCACGCTAACGAAATGGAAATGATTCTAACCTTATTCTGTGGTGGATAATTTGTTGGGTAAAACTCCCAACATTTCTCATGATGTCACTTCTGCTAAAAAGATTTAAATCCAATGTCCCACCAGAAATCAATATAATTGCCACAGTGGTGGTGATATGAATTACTGGTATGTGTACAGGGGGCCGGGGGGATTAGTGGGGTTAGAAGGAAGCACTTGTGATGATTAGATCTAAATAAATTTAAATTACTACAGAAATGATAATGGTTTACAATTAAGAGGATGGGGAATTTTTGGGGAAGTGCATTTGAGAATTTGCAAAATTTCTTCAGAACAAAATAATACCTTGCTGCTTCAACAATAGTGTATTAAGATACTAGTTAAGCTGAAATACTTCTGTAGGCATGAAGCTGGCACTGAGAACCCTGGAATCCTACTGTAATGAGGATCAATTTATAATCAATTATGATAAATCCAAAGTTTTAGTTTTCTTCTAACAAAAGACAAAAGCACAAGTGGACAATTGGTTCCCATGAATTAGAGCAGGTCAGATGTTTTAATATTTGGGCATAGTATTTCGGGCCTCCAGGAAATTAACAACCCAGATAAATTATGCCACTTCTACTGCCCAAAAGAGCACACAAATTTAAATTTGTTATATTAAATTTTATAGGCAACGGGGCATATTACATTCCAGCAGCAGTTAAATTGTTTACAGTTAAAACAGTTGCCCAACTATTATATAGGATACAACTTGACCCATACACAAATTATGAAGTCATTGAAATTTCTTTAGGACTTCATTCAGTATCCCAGTGCCGTATTGAAGCTTTGAAGCTTAATACTAAGTATTAAGACTCATGCCTGGTCTTGGATTCTAATCTCAGTATTTTGAATCAAGTTACATCTACAGGCCTGATGTTTCTGCTGTTGACAGACAGCTACCAATCTCATTGTCCCTGTATCTGTATAGCAGAACTTTGCAGTTGTATTTATCCTGAATCTTTAAGCCAATTAACTCTGGAGAAGGTCAAATTAATAGTAGAAGAGAGAATCAGGGAGATTGACCATCAAAGTGATATCACCATTGAGTGCCTTTGGAAATCTATCACCAATTATTGGACAGACCCAAGCCATTTACTGCAGGGTGTCTATACAATCAGAAGCTACTTCCTTCTGTTTCTTTTCATTTTTTTCTTTTTATACTTTGGGCTTTATCTCTCTCTTTTTTCTTTCTTTTCTTTATATTAATTCTTGTTAGGTTTAATCTGCTGTTTAAAATTCTTAATAAAATGTATATGAAAAAATAAAGAAATTATAAATTATTGCCTTGGGACAAGATTAGACTATTCATTTCCACTCTAGTACAGAAACCATTTCTCATATAATGAAAACAAGAATAGCATGGGTTTTGTTTAGAAAAATAGAACATGTTCAACAACAGAGGTTACCATAGCTACTCCAAAATTTTGCATGGCTAATAAGGTACACAAGATAAAGTATCCAAAACAAACAAAATGTTAAGTGGATGCAAATAATTCTATGACTTGGTGTTAATCTAATTGTAAAATACAGCTTGAAAGGTATCTGCATATGGTTTAACTTTTTTTTAATAAAACCAACCCTGGAAGCATTTGGATTATTTTGTTATAAAGGCACTAAGACAAAAGTATATGGCATTTCTGATTCTCGAATGTGTTAAATTATAATTCCCTGCAGCCCCAGTCAGGATATTAATGGAAATGAATATTGGAAGCTACAGTTATCAACATCTGGAGGCCATAGATTTCCCATTGGTTACTTAGTTTCAAACAGATGGAAAGTGGATTTGTAACTTACACCTGTGGGGAAAATATAATACATTTACCATTAAGTGTTTGATTTGTGTCTGGTTTATTTGAATTTTTATCATTGTAAATTTGTACAAACTCATAATTTTTGTGACCATAATTATTGCTACTTTGAGGAGAAATAGGATTACAGAAATGTTGGACAATTTTAAAAGTTGATTTTAGTATACGTTTACTGATTCAAATGACAAGTATAATTTATTTAAAAATCTAAGCTGATAAGTTTTAGGAGCTTATGAAATATATTCTTCTGATTAAATAACACAATAGACACAATTTCCTGTGTTCTATTTGATATTCTATTTCTGTATATGTAATTAGATCAAGAATAAAACATCTTGTAATTTAAACAGAAATCCTTTGCATTTCTGCGTTCTAGGTTTTTCCCCCTTAAAAAAATTACATGCCCCATAGCAGTGATGGCAAACCTTTTAGAAACCGAGTGCCCAAACTGCAACCCAAAACCCACTTACTTATCGCCAGTTGCCAGATGGGCGTGGCTGTGGTGCTCATGGCAGACTGTTTGGGTGTGGCCAAGGTGGGCGTGATCACCTCAATGTTGCTCATGGGGAGAGACACCTGTGGGGGCTGGGCAGGGTTGGGGGAAATCCAGGGGGTCTCTGGCAGGTGGGGCAGTGGGCAGGAGGCTCGTTCTGTGGGGTGAAGCAAGGCAAGGCAAGACAGGGCGGGGGAGCCATTGTCACAGGGCAAGGCGAGGCAGGGGCCGGGGCAGCTGCTGCCTGACACCATCAGCCCCTGCACAGAGGTCAGCAAGCGCATGGGTGCTGGGATGCATCCAGCCACATGGACCTTGGCTAGTTAGCGGGCAGCTGGTTGAAGAGGGATGGTTGCCATCTCCAGGGCATGGCGCGTGTGCCCACAGAGAGGGCTCTGAGTGCCGCCTCTGGCACACGTGCCATAGGTTCGCCACTACTGCCCCATACGGATGTTATGTATTCAAATACAATTTCAATATATATTCATAAATTGAAATTTAACTTCACTGTTTTCTGCTTTTATCATGCTTCTTGTATATTTGGGGTACATAATATGTTTGTAGCAAGTAATTTGGTACTGAATGATCTGAATTTGAGAAACAAAGTGACTTTTTTCATTTGCAACAAAAAATCTTTATTTTTAAAAACAGGTAACAAAAGACTTGAAGCAATTTGATAATAAAATAATAGAATGCAAGTTTGAAAACAACAGCTGGGTATTTATGAGACAAAGGCTAGACAAAAGTTTTCCCAATGCTTACAGTACAGCAATGGGTAAGTGCAATAAATTGGTTCTGTATCTGCATTTTGTTATTAAACTTTAACTAGCAAAAATAACTTTTTTTGGCAAAGACTTTAAGATTCATAATTTGAGTTTTCTTGGCTTCGATAAAAACTGGAGTTCAGAACCAGAGTTTGACTCATACATATTTAAAAATGAAATGTGGACTGGCATGGAGCATTCATATCAAGTGGTCTTCTCTTGTCTGATATTTTCAATTGTATTCAAATTAAGACAGCCACTACTCAGTGAAAATTTCTACATCCTAAAATAATGTGCAAAACATGGGAAATAAGAGATTAAAATTATGAAAAAATGTTTCCTTATATAGTACATACTAATTTTCCTACTGCTATTAAAAAGAATCTAATAAAAATTGTAAAACAATAAGTTTCTTCCCAAGGAAAATGCTTTAAAAATCATTACAAATTATTATTGTTGGTGTTGAATAGCTCAAACTAAAATGCATTTTAACTCTGTGCACTTCATGTGACAAAATGTATTTTGAAAATCCAGAGGAAAAATACTATTGGTATGTTGTAATGAAAGTTACAAAAATATTTAAGTATCATATTATTTGTTGTGATGCTTTTATTAACACATCACTGATATTTATGCGTACAGCCATAGTTACATGCTGTTCAGGATTCCATATTTGTACAGTTTAGGTGTCAATACTCTCCATAAAAACATGAAATTACATAAAAATCTATACTTTCCCCCAAATAATGTATTGTCTGTATATGCCTAAACATTACACAATCGCTTACAATTAATAGCAAACATTTAAATTTGTTTAAAAGGTTTTAATTGCTTCTTACAGTAATGAATTAACCTTTTAGACTAATGTTTCCAAAATACGATATCAAAATTTATTACATAGTTACAAGGCACATACCAGGCTGTTCATCACAGGATTCAGTACAGTATAGTGCAGATGACACTAAGCTGGCAGGAATAGCCAACACCCCAGAAGACAAACTCAGAATCCAAAAAGATCTTGACAGACTTGAACAATGGGCCCTATCCAACAACATGAAATTTAATTTGGAGAAAAACAAGGTTTTATACCTAGGCAGGAAAAACCAGGGATACAAGTATAGATTAGGCGAAGCCTGGCTCAACTGTGTGAGCTCAACTGCTCACAGTAACTGTGAGAGGGTCCTTGGAGTCCTATGGACAATCACTTAAACATGAGCCAGCAGTGTGTGGCAGCAGCCAAAAAAGCTAATACAATCCTGGGTTGTATAAACAGAAGCATAGAATCAAAATCACATGAAGTATTAGTACCACTTTATAAATCCTTAGTGGGACCACACCTGGAATACTGCATCCAGTTTGGGTCACCATGTTACAAAAAAGATGTTGAGATTTTGGAAAAAGTGCAAAAAAGAACAACTAAAATGATTAAGAGCCTGGAGACAAAAACTTATGAAGAACGGTTGCAGAAATTGGGTATAGCCAGTCTAGAGAAAAGGAGGACTAGGGGTGATATGATAGCAGTATTCCACTATTTGAGGGGCTGCCACAAAGAAGAGGGGGTCAACTTATTTTCCAAAGGACCAGAAGGCAATACAAGAAACAATGGATGGAAACTAATCGAGAGAAATAACCCGTAATTAAGGAGAAACTTCTTAACAGTGAGGACAATTAACCGGTGGAACAGCTTGCCTTCAGAAGTTGTGGGTGCTTTATCACTGGAGGTTTTAAAGAAGAGACTGGGCAGCCATCTGTCTGAAATGATATAGGGTCTCCTGATTAAGCAGGGGGTTGGAGTAGAAGACCCCCAAGGTCCCTTCCAGTTCTATTCTGATTGATTGATTGATTGATTGATCAATCTTAGTAGTAGCAGTCTCAGAGACTGGAGAAGAAGCATCAAAAATTCTGGTTTTGAGGGTATGAGAACTTTTAGGTGTCAGTGTAGAAACTGACCTTTACAAGGAACATTCTTCTTTTGAACTAGTTGAACATGGCTGCTCATGAATGGGACTTTCTTTGAATTTCATTCCATGGATTATGTTGTCATCGTACTCATAGAAGTGTGCAGGGCAATTGGTTTGGATCTATTGGATTTTGAGAATCTCCATTCTCTGTAAGTACAACTGCGAATAAATGTTTTTTCTTGCTCTCACAATGCGTTTTTCCCTTCCAGCTGTTTGCAACAGTATACAACATCCAGTGACAAAAGAAATACTTTTTGAATTCATTGAAAAATGCATGACAGCAACTCCAGGACAACCACGTAAACATCACCTCGATCCTGACACTGAACTAATGCCACCACCACCACCTAAAAGACCTCGGGTGTCGTAACAGATCTCTTCAGATCAAAAAAACAGTAGAATTGTTTAGAATTCTACAAGATAATATGTATGGTGTAAATATCCTGTAAATACTTACGTGCATTTTTTTTGGAATGCCACACCACGAACTAAGATTTGTTTTCTACTTGACAAGTTGAACATTTTTCCAAATTTGAAAAATATTTAATCTAAAGGGATGATGTGGAATCAGTGGAAAGCTATTGTTTGGTAGGTAACTTTCAGATTTGATATTTTATACCAGCAATCTGGAACTGTGAAGCCATGATAAAAATGTCCTCCCCCCTTTTTTTAAAAAAAAAAAAAACAACCAGTATTTCAGTAAGTGTGTGAAACTTATTGCCTTGTTTTATTTAGTTTAGTTCTTTCTTTTTTAAAAATAATTACAAATGGTAATGTAATGTTCTTAAATAAAAGTTTACCAGGTTTCACTATTTTTTTAAATACAGCCTTTTATATTAAAGACATTACAAGGTCTTATATAAAAATTGTATTGGATGTGCACTGAGTATTTTTTTTTCCAGCTTGAACTAAACATTTGCTGAATCTGTTTTAAAACTAGATTCTGCATTAGGACCAAACATAAACAGTCCTTGATATAAAAACTATTTCTCATTTCTGTACAAATAAATACAAGTTATATCAAAATGTATATCATTTGAGATTCATGAAGATTAGCCATTTTAACAATATAATATTAGTTTCTAGAAAGAAATGATAGAAGAAAAACCAGAAAATATGTTGGTGATATATAAAAGTGACATTTAGTCTCAATTCCAGGAAGAATGGCTATTAGAACAGTTGATATAAAAGAAAATATTTTCATGACGGAAGATAGAATGATAAGCTTAATTCAGTTTTAGTTCAGATGTTCAGTTTTCAAAGCAAGAGTCAGTTTAGCTGATTGCCAACATCATTCACAATCGGGGGTTTTAATTTTCTGGTTTAAAATAAATCATGATTAGCTGAAGCACAATTATGTTTTATTCTGCCCCTAAAGCATTTCATTGACATGGAGAACAAAGATGTGTTTAAAGTGGAGAAATACTTACAAGGGTAAACATTTTCACAACTTGACTATAAAAGAAACCAGCGGGCATTTTAGCAGTATTTATGTATAGATCACAACTATTTAATCAACCTCTAAGCTGAATAAATTTGTTAGTAATATAGTGGTAGCCAAACAGAATATATTAGAAACATTTAGTGTATATTTTTAAAGTTTAATATTTTTCTTGAGTCTAATATATGGAAATGCAATTTGTGCTTTGTTCAGTGCCCATTTTGGGTCTATAAAAATATTTATCTTTCAGGCACTGAAGGAAAAAATGTGGTTAATTATTTTATGCAATTAAAATGCTAAATATATTGTTTTAGTGTGCAGAATAAGCTGAGATTGGTGGAGGAAACTAAAAACAATAAAATGCTTATCTAGATATATTCAAAATAAAAAGAAGAGAAAAGTTTCAGTATACTAAATGCTGAATAGAAACAACAGAATGCTAATATGTAGAAAAAATTGGAATTACACAACTCCTATTTGGAGCAATCTGTTTTGAGAAAATGAAATATGTTCCACCAGGCAATTTGAACACAAGGTTGAAAGTTCCCCAAATTGCTTATTTAGTTTGAATTAGATTCAATTTCCAGACTACATAAATCCTAGTGCCCTTCCTGTCTTAAGGTACTGAAGGATGAGTTGATCAAAACTGCATGTTATCTTTTGTGAAAAATCTTGGCCCTGTCTTTAAAAAGTTGGGTACAGGGATTTACAGACAAGCCAGTCTACCATCAACACCTGCAAAAATTCCAGGACAGATCACAACTCTAAAAACCTTGAAAACCCTGCAGTGATTTTCAGTAGTCAGCCAGATAAAGGAAAAACAAAACGTAAGCAGTATAATTATACTTCATTTTTGGCTGGGGAAATGGAGATGAGAGCCTCTATAGTTGGCAATGAGTAAAATCTGCTGGGACTCTTTTCGATGGGGTAAGTTCCTTAACAAACCATAGCAGTGCTGCAGACAAATTGAAATGAAGTATCATCTAAGGCTCTTGAGGCCTGTTCTGTTCAACTTTTTTGTATTAAATACTTGAATGAAGAAGTGGAAAGAATGCTTATCATTTTTATAAAGACACAAAATAGGATACCTAATACCTGAGAAGGCAAAAATTCAAAATGCTATTGATATGCTAGAAAAAAATGGGATGAAAGTAGTAGAGTGAATTATAACTGAAATAATGTAAATATATACATTTAGGAAACAATAGTCAAATTCATAGGCATAAAACAAGAGATAACTATCTTGGCTATAGTATTTGGGAAGATCTTGGAATTGTAGTTGATTACAACATGAATCAGTGTGCGGTGGCAAAGAAAAGGCAAAGAGAACCTTAAATCATTGGAAGTCATATTTTCACTTACCTTTGCAATGGTCAGATCCAATCTTGAGTATTCCATCTCCTCCTGTACTTTAACAGAGATTGTGACAGGCTGGAACAGACTAAGTGAAGAGCCAATAAGGATGACCAGAGAGCAAGGTTGAAGGAATTGGAAATGTTTTACCTCAAGAAGAGAAAACTGAATGGAAATATGATAACATTTGTCAAATATCTCAAAAAAAAGGTTACATAGGAAAAGATAAAAATCTGTGCTATTACCCCAGAATGCAGAATACAAGGTAATGGTTTTAAGTTACAGGAAGGTAGATTCCAGATGAACCTAACAGTAAAAGATGTTTGACAATAGAACTATAGGGGCCCCCTTTCATAGGCAGAGGCTAGAAAGCCATCAGACATTTTAAAACAGATTCTTCTAGTGAGCTGGGGATTGAACTTGGTAGCCACCTTGGCTCCTTTTAACTCTATTATTCAAACTGTTTAGCATAGACCAGGGGTAGGCAAGCTTGGCTCTTTTATGACTCGTGGACTTCAACTCCCAGAATCCCTTCAACTGAGAGTTGAAGTCCACGAGTAATAAAAGAGCCAAGCTTGCCTACCCCTGGCATAGATGATCCAGGCAAGTTGCACAACTTTTCTCCAGTGATCCTTTAGTAGACATGAAAAGCTAAGCATATACAGTTAATATAAAGAAAGTAGTATCTTTGAGCTCCTATCTTTCAAGTCCATGGAAGAACGGACAAACTCAATTCTAGAACAATACCTGAGATACTTTATTAATTATCAATAAGATAACTGGACCGACCTCTTGCCTTTTGCAGAGGTTCCTTATAACAATGCTGTACACACTAGTTCTGGCTTCACCTCTTTCAGAGTGGCCACCGGGCAAGACTTTAATCCAATGCCCGAGCTACCAGACAACGAGCCCATCATTCTCTCGAAGGAATGGATTTATCAGTTGAAAAATACAGTCGCTCACAAAGCCTTAGATGAAGCCAGAGCAGCCTACAAGTCACAGGGAGATTTCTTAGCAGAAGCACAGAATTACAGTAATTGGATTCCTAAAAGTCAAAGTTCTAGCAATTAATGGTTGGCTGTATCTTCTCTCTCCACTCTCCTCCTCTCCCCCCTCTTCCTCCCCCCTCCTCCCCTCCCCCTCCTCCTCCCATCACACAGACAAAATCCCATCAAGTTCCTGAAGAACCATGTTCTAATGGGCAGAAATCCTCAAATAAAATAGAAATGGGAACTTCTCAAAAACAAGATGGTGCAAATGCACCTGAAACCATTCCAAAGGAATTAAAATTATTACGTAGGGAAAAGTTTTCATTTTACTAAGTACTACTTTCTTAGTTTTCTGGGAGAATTCTGCAAGATTCTCTTCAAACAAGTATGAAGATACCAAACAAAGAAACACCCACGAGGAAATATAGCTTTCAGGTTATTTTTCATTGTGAATCTCCTAATTGAGTCTCGAAACTAAGAAACAAAACTCCATAACTATATATGTTACAAAAAAGGCCTTGTCATCAAGAAGGAAATCAGCATAGAACTCATCTGAATGGCTAGGGATTGTCACTCAAAGGGGAAAAATAAGTTTTTGATACATTATCAAAATGTGCAATCCAGAAGAACATGTGTAATCAATTCAAACTCTTCTGTGTCACATGGACAAAGCACAGGACATTACAACATGGTAGTAAAGGCCCCCTGGTATTTTTGGTATAACATTGTTTGAAGGTACAGTGTTCCAGTTGTACCTTCAATTAAATATTGAATTTAATCTCCAATTAAATATTAGTTAATTCGATGTCTTGAAGAAGTGGGCTATTGGTTCAGATTGTGCTGTAACTCAATTTCTAGGAGCCGCTGGATATGACTTTTGGCTGGGACGAGCAAAGGCTATATAAAATACTGAGGGACAGGCCACTTGAAATAATTTATTACTTTAAGGACTTCTGCTAGGTAGATTGAAAGGCAACATTTAAAACAAAGTTCAGCAGCCCAATTGGAAGATAAATGAATGTCAGTCAAGAACATTCTTGACTGCTTGCTCTTGTTTCTGCTCTTAATTATTCCAGAGTCTTGCCTAAGAGTCCCATTAAAACACATATAGGAATACCAATTATAGCACTAAGAAACCTTGATTGTTCAGATTCAAGCAATCTAAAGTGAGAGTATGAGTCAAGGAGCCTGAAGTAATAGTTTTGAGGCCTTTGCCTGGAAGAGTTTTATAGCTATGGACAAATAACTAAGGAATAATGAAATCATAAAATTGCTAAATTAATGCTTTGACCAAATGGGGTTCATAATGCCCTTGTTCCATAAAATCCCAAGATACTTCAATATTTTAATTAGTCATATCCTGTGACCATTAACGATTCAACTAAAGTTTTTAGGTTGGTTTGGGAAAAAAAGTTCGGTTTGGGGGAATTATTAATCAGATACTTCTCATGAAAGTATTAGATCAAGACAATGATTATTCTCTAGTCGTACATGTATTAAAGATAGAATGACAGTGACATCTGCATAGGGCAGTCTTGGGAAATGTCTGTTGTTCAGTTTGGAAGCAAAAAGCAAATAGATACATTAACCACTGTATTAGGAAACTAGTTGATGTTAGAAACGGGGGGGAATGAGATGCCTCCCAAAATTGAGGCAGATGGCAAAGCCTCAACAAGCTTTAATTCTTTAGATTGCAAAAATTTCATCTGTGTAGTAAATTTTGTAATACAGGGAAAAAACCTGCAGACTTGGCTGGACAATTACAGCGAGTAGTACAATTAAATTGTTTATCCAATAATAGAGGATTAGCATTACAGATTGAAGGGCAATAAGCATGCTTCAGATTCTGTATTCCTATTGAAATCTGAGATTATTCTGGAAATGTCTATAACTTCCTCAATAGAATGTTCAATCAGATATTTCCATAGGTTACTCCAATAATCTGGATCAATAAAAGAGGTAATCGTGTCAAAATTTCAACCAGACATAGAATAGCTTTATGGAAATTGCTGTTTCAAAAGCTTGGGCAGAATTACATACTACCCTACCAGATCGTTCAACAAGATGAATCAAATCAGCTGTTACGGCTTGATCAAGCTGGAATAAGTTCCCCTTTTCATTTAGAGCATGGGAGTCAAACTCACCACGTCACGTGACGTGTCGCAACGTATTACGACTTTTTTTGCATTGTTGGAGCTGTGGGCGCAGCCTCTGTATAATGCAACCGGCCCATGGGCCGGCAGTTTGACACCCCTGATTTAGAGCATATTCATTATAGCTGTTGGGTTCTGTATTTGCAACTTTTTGTTAATGAGGAAGCAGTGAAGGTAGTGCTTCTTGAACTGTGTATGTATGATCTCTGAATGGTGTATTTGTCTACAATATATTGTTGCCTTCTTGGATTTGCATTGGGCTCTTCCATTATGTATTTTTACACTTGCTGGAATCTGAAACCTATCTGCAGGTTTGCTCCTTGTTTTGTTATTTATTGTATTATATAACATTCTGTTTTTGGGGGGAGGGAATGTAGATTTTTTAACTGGAATTATGCATTTCAGTACTTTGTGGCAGATGCAGTGGATACCAGCATGCTTTTTATTGCTTCCAATCTAATATTATTTCATTTCACTCAATCTGAGGGAGACTTTTAATTGACCAGATTAATTCCATTTCTGTTAACTAATAATCTATTTTATTTTTAGGCCTCAGGAGGGGTTGAACTTTAAGCCTTGTCTGAGGCTGCTGGCAAAAGAGGTGTACACCAGACTTTTCCTGTTTGCTAATCTTCCACTGCAAGCTTAGTCTGATTCCTGATATCTAGGAGGATACAAATAGAATCCTTGAAAACCCAAATGGGAACAATTTGAAATTTCTTCAGGAAGCTTTTCAGTTTGAGAATGATCAGGGTAGGATACTTGAAACACAGGCAGCCATGTCGTATCAGTAAGCTCAATAAATTGTAGTTTGTACCTCTGGAACAGAGAGGGTGCAGAGCTGCAACGTTAGCATGGCATCTTCATTTTTTTTTTAACCAATTGCAGC